CCAAAAAGGTTTCCATTATTGTTACAATCCAAAGAACCCTTTTTTGCTACAATATAAAACCCTTGTTGCTATGAGTGTAGGCCCACGTTGTAGATACAATTTCCAAACGTGCTGTCATAACAACAGTCTACAGCCTATTGCTAACAGCAGTGCAGTCATCATCTACCTAATCCAACACTTCCACCCTACAGTGATACAAAACAATAGTAATCAAACAGAATACAGGATTCACACAAACACAGCCAGCACTTCACTGACCAACAGCACCTTCACTATAAAGCCACCAAAACATAGTTTTCTGTCTTTGGATGAATAGAGCAGCGTACGGTGGTACAAACAGAAAATCTCTGTGCAGAGTTATAGATCAGTTCTGAGTCCCAAAGCAGCTGAATATTGTTTTTAAACCTATAAATAATCATCTAATGTAATAATGAAGTTTTATTAAGCATTATATCTCCCACTATGTGAGTGTTTCAGTGTTAAATCTCACTGTGACTGGGAGACACAATCAGTTACTGCAACACAAATCAACAATCTGATTGGTCACCGATAAGCTCATTTACAATTTAAAAATAATTTTTTAACATGTCCCTGCTAAAGTGTTCAGAGCAAAAGGGTCTCCACAACCAGGTTTTGGTGACCACTGTTCTAAACCACTGAAAGTATCACCGTAAAAGAAGAATAATTAAAGTCTCCAACATACTGATTAGCTGAAGTATTTAAATGTGGCCAACATGAAAAGACATAATATATAAATGTTAATGGACTCACCCTTTACAGTGAGTGTAACAGAGGTACTGTACTGTGATGATGTTGGTCTGTAACGATCTCTCTCCTCTACACTGATACTGATCTTCATTAATCACAGCAACTTCTCTGATGGTGAGAGTGTCTCTGTTTACAGTGTAATACACAGACTGAGACACTGCAGTCCATCTATGCCATGTATACTGTTTATACCACTGCTATGTCCATCCATCATAAGTGTTAATCTCACACTTCAGAGTGACTGATTCTCCACTGAACACAGGACTCTCTGTTATAGTTAAAAATAATAAGTTAAACTTAAACCGTCATTTTAATCCTGGATTAGTTTTACAGTAAACCTAGTTTACATTTAATCCTGTTTCTTCATTACTTTAAACACTGATTTAAGTTTAATTTAAATTAGCTAACAGGCTAACAAGCTGCTCTATCAATATTCAGTGTTATGTTTTAGATTTGATATTTATGGAACATTAACTGTACAACTGCAGCTTAGAGAGTAACAAACAGAGAGTTTATATGGAAAATATTTGATTTGAATACCAACAGGTTTTGTGTAACATTACAAGTTAGTCTTCTCAGCAGGGCTGACTAAACAGCTCCTCCGGACTCTGAGGCTGTGGGTCTAATAATGGACTGTTTATTAAATGTCTGTATTCCCTCTCTGATTGTGAGAGCTGGTTTTGATGTAGCTCTATGCTGGTTTTCACTCAGAAGGGAAGAAAAAAGTAGAGATAGTGATCAGTGTGGAGAGAAATGTAGTTGCTGTTTATTTATACTGCTGAATCCATCATGGTGGGCAATCAGAATGAATGGCAGGTCAAGGTTTAATCACAGATTAAGACTTTAATCACAGATTAATCTATGAATAAAATTAAGTGGGGCAACAGAACTCGATTTAAAATAAAATCTAGATCAATAAATTCTAGATCAGCTTCAAACTCTGTTTAATCCTTGATGGTGCAGCTCACACTAAGATCTACATTTGAAAAATATTAGATCCACATCAGATCATCAATCAGACTCTCTTCATAGACACAATCTCGGAAAACAGTGTGCGAGTGTACAGGGGGAACTGCTCACAGTGTGTGCGCGCCCCCTGTGGCCAAAGACTGTAAAAACAATTGCGGACGCACGTTTGATCACGTGGTACAACAATGCTGAACTCCGACTGGTTGAAACGGGAAGCAATGGCTGGAACTGTGAGCCAATGAGGTGTCGCCTTAACCAGTGCTCCAGTTTACCAGTCAGAAGTGGAGTTTGACGAACTGGGACAGCGTCAAAGTCTTTGATCTCTGTGAGTTTAACTTTCACCATGAGACGAAATGTTTTCTACAGAGCCCTGATGATGACATCCTGTATAAATACAATTAATGCATGGCCACGCCTTATGTGTGGGAACGAGATCCTAATGCGTGGCCACGACTTAGTAAGGTGTGGGAATGACATGATTAAGTTGTGGCCATTACTTAGTAAGGCGTGGGAACGAGATCATGACTTACTAAGTCGTGGCCCCGCATCAGGATCTCGTTCCCACGCTTTACTATTAAGACTTAATCATCTCATTCCCATGCCTTACTAAGTCGTGGCCACGCATTATTTTATTTATTCATTTTAATTTTTACCCAATTTTCTCCCCAATTCAGTCTCTCCAACTCCACCCGCTAGTTAGGACTCCCCCAATCACACGATGCTATCAGCGCTAGGAGGGTGAAGGTGACACAGGCTTCCTCCGAGACCTGAGAAGCGCCGCATCTTTTCGAACTGCCGCAACGTCACTGGTCAGCTGAACGCGCGCGGAGGAAATGAAGCGCCAACCGCCAGATCTGTTACGTCAGCTAACGACGCCTGCGCTGACTAGCACCGCGTTGAGTGATGGGGGAGAAGGGGGGGCCATCCTACCCACCCAGAGAGAGCGAGGCCAGTTGTGCTCTCCTGGACTCCCGGCCACGGAGTCACCAGGGATCTAACTCGCGCTCTCCTGATGACGGGGCCACCGATTAGACGGCACACATTATTTTTGTTTATACAGGATGTCACCACTGGGGCTCCGTAGTTTTCAACCACTAAGTGTTTAATTAATGACCTGTTCTAATATAAACCCGTCCTGTAAATGTCAGACAGTCTCAGCAGTGCCGGTTCTCCTTCATCAGCTGGTTAACTGGTTATTGGACCTCGTTATCTCTCAGCCCTGAGGCGGTTAGACTGCCTCCCTGTGTCAGTCCGTTTGTTTTGATAGCTGACGCTGCGCTGCCTATGAACGTTTAACGCGTCTTCCACAGAGACGTCTTCAGACTCGTTGAAGCGGTGAAGTGTTTAATAAAGGTGAAGGTTTGGTCTCTAAAATGAGGAAGAAGAGCCCAACAAACGACGCTGTTCTTCACATTACCACGTGACAAAGCGGGGCTCGATGTAAAGTAGCTACACTGATTCATTTAAAGGTGAGCAGAGCAGATAAACCAGCCTGGACTGAACCTCACAGAGAAAGTCGGGGTAGCGCGGTTTGTCGTTCCTAAATAAGGCGGGGGGTGTTTGCCGTGTCGGACTCCGCGAGAGGAGAGCTCGTGCTGAAGTACAGAGGAGACCCGATCAGTGCGGAGGAAAGTCGAAGAAGACGAGTTTATCACAGCGCCATGAAAGGATTCATGATCGACTTCATCTGGCAGGAAAACCCCGGATCTGAGTACAGACTTCCCTTCATCTCTCTCTTCATCCCTTCATCCCTCTCTTCACCCCTTCATCTCTCTCTTCACCCCTTCATCCCTCTCTTCACCCCTTCATCCCTTTCTTCATCCCTTCATCTCTCTCTTCATCCCTTCCTCTCTCTCTTTATCCCCTCATCTCTCTTCATCCCTTCATCTCTCTCTTCCTTCATCTCTCTCTTCATCCCTTCATCCCTCTCTTCATCCCATATCATCGCTCGCCGTTTACTCTGAGATCCTCTTTCTTAATCGGGTCTAATGATAACGATGTTTTTATCAGAAAAACGACTTGGCTGGCTTTTATAACGCGCCTTATTCAGTCGTGTTGAGTCTTTTTCAGCTTTTGTCTGACGTGATTTTGAAGGGCTACCGCATCAGAACCGCCCAAGGTGCCAGTCTACTTCTGAAGTTATTCAAATTATGACCTCCTGACTCTCCTGATCCTGAACCACAGGTGGATTTAGTTCGCATCATCTTTAAATTAGTAGCATTTCCATTATCCAGCTCTATATTCCACATTTTCTGTCTGTTTTATGTTTGACATTTATGGGTCATTCTACAGAAACGTCCATTTTCGTGTCCCTAGCGGTTACAGATATATTACACTTATAAAACATGTTAGAGTTACATTTTTTTTTACATTTTCAAATAAAACAATAAGTTATTATAACAATATACCTTCTTGATCCATCAATTTAGCAATATTGGTTTTTAAATCAATTATCTAGAATTCCAAGCACCACAGAAGTGCTTGTCCCCACAGTCATGTGTAAAGGGTGAGGAAATATTTTGAAGAAAAACATTTTTCTGCAATTTTAATTACAATAATCTATACATGACTATGGCATATATAAATTAAATGACAAAGAAAACAAATGCTACATAAATATTATAAAATATATAATGAAAGTTATTGTCCCCAGGAGTCGTGTCACTGGGGTTACCACATAACAAAAATCTTATTTTCTGAGGATCTATGAAAAAATCACATGTTCACAAGTCCACTGTGTCTTTTCAGTTATCAGAGATTTTCTCATTTAGCTCATGATTTCATATGAAGCTTTCAGTTTACGTCACTGGTGTGACCTACTTTATTCTTAGGTAAGTGTAAAAAAAAAAGAATACAAATGGATTACATAACATATTTTAGTGGATATTCCATGATTGACAACATGTGTTTTGATGCTCTGTAGCAGCCATTTTGTAAAATGCATTTTTCATTAAAAATGTCTCTGGTGTTACCTTTCTTATGTGTAACACCAACGAGGACTGGACACCAGTGACACCTATGGATAGATAGAAAAGTGAACGTTTCTGTAGAATGACCCTAAAATGATACATATTGTGCTTTGTAGTCATTCTTCCTGTCAGTACTTAAGAGGTAGAAGGAAACTGTGAATAATCTTAGTCTAATAATGATAATATAAGCAAAATGACAGTGACACTGTTATGGAATAAAATAACTGCAAATAATGTAATGTTTGCTTTTATTAGACTTTTTAATTCTACAACTATAAAACTAAACTGTTACCTTTCGTCACTAAATAACTGTCTTCTGTTTGGTGAAATTCAGTATTGATGCTGCAATGGATGACGGCACTCTTGGACCACTGGTTAATGACGACCACATTAACCCCAACTGTAAAATGAAGAGACTCGTCGTGGAGGGAAGGCCACATTTGTGTCTTTTTGCTTTAAGAGACGTAACACCTGGAGAGGAGATTACGTATGATTGTGGAGATGGTGATTGTCCCTGGAGGAGTGAGGTAAGAATGTCACTTCTTGTACCAGTGGTGGTTAATTAGATTCCAAATAGTGAGTGTATTTTTATGACATCATATCCGTGTAAAAGAAAGCTTGAGATTAAAGAAGACTGTTATTCTCAGTTTATGTAGACTATCTAGGGATGATCAGAACAGTGCGGTATGTATGGTATGGTATGTATGGTACTGCTCACTGCTCACAGGATTACCCTTCTACTTTTATGTTTAATAGTGACTGTTTTGCTGTTTTCGGTGACAAAAAGTGGAATGGAAGCAGACAACAATCATCTGGAGTCAGGTGGTGCCTCTGGCGATGATCAGCATTGCACCCAGCATTCACAGCACAAATCTGCTTTTGGCATCCAGGTAAGCAAACTGCTTTAATTCATGCATGTTTCACACGGTTAATGCTGAGTCTACACAATATACAGTGTAGTCAGCCAGTGTAGGCAAAGGAGTGATGTCTGTTCATTTACCACAGTTATGACTTTTATGCAGTGCTGCTCCTTAAACCTGCTTTGCATGTATTCTTTCCTTCTGCTTTTTTTCAGGTGGACTCTGCACATCTGCCTCATCTCCTTCAACTATGACACTCTGAGATGCTGTTCCTTGGTCAGACTGTGCCTTTGCTAACCTGTTGAGCTTTTCTCATGCAGACCCATCCGTCTCATGATGCTGCACCGTTTGCTGTTCATTTTCTAAACCTAACTTCATTTATTCCTTTACCAGGGTTATCTCAGTACTGTTACAAGATGCCTTCTCTCCACTGCATTACTGCAATACGGTGCCTTGTTTGTGCTGTTCATGTCATATTCCTGGTTTTCTGCACTGTAACTTTTTTGTATTTTTCAGATCCCCCTCAGCAGTGCTATAAAATGCCCTCTTGTCTAACAACTCAGCAATGATACCAATGTGATGCTGCGCCTCAGATACATTGTACGGTTACTTATCATGACTGAATTTACTCTATCTACTTCTTTTGTAGTGTCTCATTAATGGTTCTGAGGAACGTCTCATCTTGCCCCTTAGAGGACAGTACCAAGCAATCATGTGCATCAGCTACACTCCATGTTTTACTATTACTGTTTTTTTACTCCAGTTCCTTCCATTCTAAGGTGTCTGTGATGCTCCTGCATGCCATCTCATATCACTCATATCACTCCTCAGCTGTAACGCTGCACCTTCACTGTGCTCTGAGTCTACTAACACTAATCTCATTTCCTCCAACTCTTTCCTTAACACTGCTGCACTGAGGTTCTTTCCTCTTGCTTTTTCTGTGTCACTGTTGCTTTTCCACAGCTCCATTTCATTTAGTATCATGCCAATATTAGAAATCCTTTCTGTAAATTCCTCCTTTTTAGGACCAGCGTCTACAGCAGCAAGCTCTTTCACTGCTGTCAGTTTACTGCTCTTGGCCTGCTGAGTTATTGGCTTTAGACCTAAATTCTGTAAAGCTGCCATGCAGTGTTTTGTAAAAGTGCATTCACTGTCCACCCTAAGCCATCTTTGTGTTTTCAGTCTCACAACCCTCATTAGCAGCACTGTAATTCCACCTTTAACAAACAGGCTTGTAACTTATAACAACCTCCTCTTTAGCTGGATCCAGGATCCTGGAAAGCTCAACATTTAAGTCAATGGGGGGGGGTTGTTTATTTGGAGTAAAGCAGAAGCCATCAAGCTAAAGTTATCAGAGTTTTGTGCCTTTTTTATCTTCTGCAACCTTTTCTTGTATTACAGTATACTTTAAAATATTATCATTTTAATCTAGAAATTGTTTGCTTGGTGTGTTTAGCCTAAAATACTTTCTACAACTTGGTAATGATTAGTTTAGTGGGGTTATTAGTGACTGTTGTGTCCATTTCAGGTGACAAACAGTGGAGTGGAAGGAGACGGTAATCGTCTGGAGTCAGAAGGTGCCTCTAGTGATGATCACCTTTGCACTCAGCATTCACAGCACAAATCTACTTTCTGCAGTCAGGTATGAAACTGCTTATTTTCTCACATTTTTACATGGTAAATGTCAAGTCCCCACAGTGTACAGTGTAGTCTACCAGTATTGGCAAAAGATTAATATCAGTCAGTGGTGCCCCTCCCCCACTGAATCCCCACACATCTTTTAAAATAAATGCTTTACACCAAGTCCTCACAACTCACCTACTTTAAAATATTATCATTTTAATCTAGAAATATCTTGTTTGCTTGGTGTGTTTAGCCTAAAAATACTTTCTACAACTTGGCAATTATTAGCTTAGTTGCATTATGTCAACATGCTTTAACCTTTGGGCTTATTGGTTGTTGTTTTGTCCATTTCAGGTGAAAAAAAAGTGGAATGGAAGGAAACGGCCATCATCTGGAGTCAGAAGGTGCCTCTAGAGATGATCACCACTGCACCCAGCATTCACAGCACGAGTCTACTTTCTCCAGTCAGGTATGAAACTGCTCATTTTCATATATTTTTAACATGGTAATTGTTAAGTCCCCACAATGTACAGTATAGTCTACCAGTTTTGGCAAAAGATTCATTTTAATCGATACATGAAGTGGTGCCCCTCCCCCACGATTTAAAAAGCCTTACACAAAATGCTGTAAATAAACAGCATCTTTATGTTTATTTTTGTTTAGGATCATTTTTTACTTTCTACACGTTTATGCTTTTCGGCCCGGCTTTAGTTGCTACAACACTTACACTTTTGGGCTTCATTTTGACTTAGGGTTGTTTTCAGTGACAAGAAGTGTAAAGCAAGATGGAAGTCAATCAAAAAGTCGATTACATTGGGCAAAAGCTGTCCATTACTTCGAAATCCTCTTCATCAGTGGTAAAGTTAGTGATTTTTCTTATTGTTTCAACCGCATTCTTTATACTGAGCTGAAGTCCCATCTTTTCACTCTGTTCTTTAACCTTCCTTATTCCTGATTTTCTGCTATGAGTGTCGTGTCATCCGCATATCGAAGGTTATTGATGTGTCTTCCACCAGTCTTGAATCCTTGATCATTTTCCTCTAGTTCTGCTTCTCTCATTATATGTTCAACATACAGGTTGAACAGGTATGGTGACAGAATGTAGCCTTGTCTAACTCCTTTGTTGATCAGTGTAAAGGTTCCTCAATAGAATGATGAGATGTTCTTGTATTCACATCTTCCTAAGGACATTCCATACTTTTGTGTGGTCAACACAGTTGAAGGCTTTGCTGCAGTCAAAAAAGTACAAGTTGATATCCTTGGCTTTTTCCATAATCTAGCGTACATGAGCAAAGATGATGTTTGATCTTTGCTTCATCAGTTATGACCTGTCCATTGAACTTCCTTTACCATACCAAGTCAAGGTTGAAGTTTAATTCTGAGCTCACGTATATTCTAGAAAACAGTCCTTGTTTCTCCATGTTTGTTTTCATCTTCAATAGTTTTACAGATGTTGTTGTAGTATTAGTCCTTGTCCTTCCTGGGATTCACGGTTTAATCCCTTAAAAGATCTTTATCCTTCGTGATTTTGGCCTCTTTTCTCCTTCTTTGCAAACTCAGCTGAATTAGTTGTCATCCACTTTGATTCCTTTCTCCTTTTCATTCTTCCGAAGTTTTTCTCTAATTTGTCTTTGATGACCTCTTGGAGTTCCATCTATAGCTCCTCTGCTTCTCTGTCAGTAATGTATATTATCTGAAATCGGTTTCTGACAGGTAGAATGTTCTCCTGGTCATATTTTGGAAGTCTGATGATTTGACTGATTTTTTTTCTCAGCTTCATTTGGAGCTTGCACATTAGAAGTTCGCTGCCTGTTCCACAATCAGCTCCAGGCTGTGTCTTTACACCTAAAATGGTCACTTTTCATCTCTTGGATGCCGTCTGGTGGTGTCCAGGTGTAAAGATGTTGTTTTGGTTGGTTGAAGAATGTGCTATTAATGAAAAAGTCATTGTACTTGCAAAAGCTGATTAGTTGTTCTTTGGCTTTGTTCCTGTTTCCAACATTTTGTTATCCCACTGTATTTCCCTCATCCTGATTTCTGACTTTGGCATTCCAGTCTCCGATCACCAGCAGGATATCTTATTTAAAGGTCTTGTCAATTTTAGCCTGAGCTCCATCATAAAACTTTTTTCGATTTCTTCTTCATTGGTGTCTGTTGTTGGGTAGTAAACCGGGATCAATATAATGTTGAATAATTGTGCATGAAATCGGATTGACATCAGTCAATCATTCACAGAATTGCATCCAATAACGGTCTCATTGACATCCTTGTTGACCATAAAAGCCACTCCATTTCTTCTTTGTTGTTCATGACCTGAGTAGTAGACAGTGTGTCTTTCCCAGCTTGCCATGATTCATACTTCAAATATTCCAAGTTCTGATTGTTTTGCAGCTTTGAATTATCTTTTCTCGCTCATCATCTAAAGCAACTATTTGTTTAAAAAGCTTTGACTTAGCTCTGAATCCTCAGCTCTTCCTCAGTGACAGGTTGAGTGCCTTTCGACCTGAGGATCCCATCTTGTGGCGCTATACCAACAAACATTCTGTTGTTCCTATCCATGTGATTCTCTTGGTAGAGTACTGAAGTGGTTTACCATTGCCTTCTTCCACACAGTTGAATTGATGTCATTGCCATTGTTACCTGTGTGATCATCGACCTTTGACAAGTCCTACATTGCTGCTGCCCAATATAGGTGATAGTTTGCAACCACCTAGCAACACATCAGCTCCATAGCAACCACATAGCAACAATCTACCACCTAAGACTTGTCTCTGCAGTCATGCTTTTGTAGTCATTATTATTATTATTATTATTATTATTATTATTAATTTGGGATGTCCTTAGTCACTTAAAATGTTTTCAAAAAGAGTGTGTTTGGTTTGTGTTTATGTGGATTTTGGAGCAGAACCAGACTTAGAACCATCTACAACGCAAGCCCAGGAATCCTCAGCTGAGCAAGCCATAGAACCAACCAGTAACACATCAGTTCCCAAAGATATTATCTGATAAATAAACATGATGGTAAGCTTTTATGACTATGAAAGACATTGTATGTTTTGACTAATAATGTTCAGCATTTATTCAGGTGTAAAGATGGTTAAGAGAAAGAAATGGGAGACTGGTGAAGTGAAAGCAGTTGAAAAACATCTAAACAGGTTTATCAAAACTTGCACAGTGCCAGGAAAAACATTTGTGAGGCCTGTATAAAAGCTGAACCTGCTGCACTGAAAGACCAGGATTGGTTGTTTGTAAAGTTCTTTGTAATGAACAGAATCACTGAGCTTAAACGGAAAATGTAATACAGAACAAATGTCGTTTGCACAGTTTGCAGCCTTGGTTTTATTTATTTTCATGAATTAAGTTCAAACAGAAAATGTTTTATTTCATTGTTCAGTTTACTTGATGCTACTCTAAAAAAAGATGGTTAACAGAGGTTCTGCATAGAACCATGAACACAAACTGAATTTAATGCTTAAACGTTTCTTTGCATGGTGAAATGGTTCTTCAGTTTGGAAAATGTGTTGTATATGGTTCTGTTAATAAACCTTTTTGAAATGGTTCTATGTAGCACCAAAAATAGTTTTTTTTTTGTTACAAGCTTGACCTCATGACAGTTGAAGAACCGTTTTTGTACTGTACAGAACCATTTTCAAAAGGGTTCTTTTATAGAATCATACAACACATTCTAAATCAGTCTGAAGAACTATTTCATCATGGTTCATAGTTCTGTACAGAACAATAAACGATTTCACCTTGGTTTATGGTTCTATATAGAACTATTGTCTTTGCTAAAGAGCTCTTGCAGAACCATCTTTTAGTGCTTATTTATTTATTTATTTATTTATTTATTTGATTAGCAGCTTAAATATTTAGTCCTGTGAATGTTGTCACGTAAATGTTGTCAAGATCCGTCTCTGACCAACTCTGAATGTGGTCCTGTAAGCCTGGACATGTTTATACCTGGCTTTTCATGTGTTGAAGTGAAATCTGAGCATGATCCGATCACCACAAACGCATGTTAATGCAGAGTGTAAACAGGCCCTAACTGTCTAAAGCAGGGGTGTCCAGTCTTATTCACAGAGGGCCGGTGTGGCTGCAGGTTTTCACTCCAACAAAGCAGGAGGTCACCTGATGAACTGTTTGAAGACTAAGACCAGCTGATTAAACAAGTAGAATCAAGTGTGCTTCACCTTGTTTGGAGTGAAAACCTGCAGCCACACCAGCCCTTTGTGGATGTGATTGGACACCCCTGGACTAAAGGCTTCGCTGTTTCTGTAGCACACAAGAAGGCAATTTATGTTTTATTCACATGGTTGTTCGCTTCTGAGAACTAGATTAGAACTTCTATTTATAACGGGTTTATTCATTATCAGTATTTTGCTGTTAGATATTATTGTTATATGCTCATTATTAAGTGATTTATCATTATAGTTTGGATATTGATTCATTTGCAGGATTGCTCTAGGCTGGTTAACCGTCTGCTCCTGTGTGTGACACTGAAAATTAGCCCCACGCCATAGAACTCACAGCTCAGAGTAACTCTCTCTCTCTCTCTCTCTCTCTCTCCACTGTAGATGTGTCTCTGACGCTCCACCATCACTGCTGGTTTGGGATTTACTTTTGAGCTGCTTCCTCTTAACAATGTAAGTAGAGTCAAATGACTCATTTTCTGTTTCTAAATGACATGAAATTTTAAACTTTCAAGGGACGGTGAGGCAGCAGACTGGAAAATTGGGTTAAATGAACTAAGAATATATGAAAGGTACATTATTATATATAGATTATTTGAATATAAATGATATTATTATTTGATGGCTGCTGATGAGGCTGCATATAATGCTGGTGTAGCATCGGCCCAAACAAGGACTGAACCCCTTTTGTACTTTTTAGCAGCCCGAAGCGTTACTACTGCACCCCCCACCCCCCAGAGGCCCAGGTGTAGCAGCATTGACTGATCCCTTACAAAATCTGTTCTCCTCTTCACTTTTTACAAAGACTTATAGGCTATAAGTTCATACATTACAGTAACTCACTATGCAAATACTTTTTATCATGGTTATAAATCATATAGAGATCTCATAAGGTACTAATCTTACACCTCATCATCCCCCATGCTTTTCATCATAACAATGTATTTGTTCTTTTCTGATGTGGAAAACAATCTACAGGTGAACGTGTTGTAGATAATCTGTGGTCCTGGTTAAGAGTGATGATTCATTTTGGGATTTGTGTTAAAATCTTTACACTGTCATCACTGTTTTTAGCTCATGTGCTCAGTGTTTATGTAATAACATATTGATATGATTAAGGCTTGTAAGTCACTTTTTTTTAAAAGGATTTTAAAGACCTTCACTGCTTCCTATATATATGCACAGTGTGAACAATTTGAAGCAGAGCATTAAAAAGTACTTCATTATTTTTGTAGACCTCAAAGTGGTGAATTATTCCTTCTTTATCACTGTTTGGTTAATGATGAAATAATTGGTGAATACTAGGGGTGGGAATCTCTAGACACCTCACGATTCGGTTAGATTACGATTCTGGGGGCTGCGATGCGATTATAAAACGATTAAAACTTTTTTTCTATACAGGATTTCTATTTTCTCACTGTGTGAGGACTTAGTACTTTTAAAGCAAATTATTTGTAATGATCCATAATGAATTTACTTCCAATATCGTTTATTAATAAATCAAATGGAAGTGATGTGGAAAGTGACCTGGAAGGCTCTCATTCACTGCTCTTGTTTAGAGCACATGAGACGGTGAAGCCACTCATCTGCGATAAAATGCGCTGTTACGGTGATGTAAGATCCAGTGGCAAAGGGTGTCCACGCAGCATGTTACAGCCGTCCTACCTGTTTTCATTTATATATATTTTTTTATTTTGTAACTTCGGTTTTGGTCTTGACGTAGAGTGTGGGGGGGATCGCTGTGTCAGTAAAATATTTTCGAGACGGGGCGCTGTATCTCGGCTCCAAAGTGTGCGACATAGCGCGAAAGCCCTGGTTCTCAAAGACTGAGAACTGGTGTGCAGACTGTAGGTCACATAGCAGCGAAGTCTCACCTCGCTAGTAGCGAACAAAAGGGCAAAAAGATTTAAGACAAACATTTGGAGACGAATGGGCTTATTTGCATTTATAAGCACTGCAGTTGGTTTCCTGGAACGTTAAATCTGCAATGAGAGACTGTCAAACACTAAAAAGATGCGAAGATAAAGCGCTTCTTTCAAATTTTCCGGTCCACCTTAAATGATGCCGCATTTACTTCAGGCAGAATTTAAGGTAGAACGGGAAAATTCGAACAAGAAGCTGGAGAATAAGAAGCGACTTCAGCCTTGGAAAACAGTTGAATGTTGAGAGACATTTTACAACAAGCTGCTCTACTTTTGAGGAAAAGTTTTCTGGCGGCGACGGGAGGAAAGCAGCTATAGCTAAAGCTTAAGACACAGCAAGTAAGTGTGTGCTTTCATTTATATTGTTTAGCCTATACTAGGACATTAACACATACTGAGACATCCTGGACATTTAATGTTGTGGCTTCTAAGGTGGTTTGATTTTTTTTGAATGGACAAAATGTCTCTTCTAATCATTTGGGTTGTGACTCCTGACCTAACCTGGCTTTAATGCAGAGGGTGCCGGTCGGATTTCTCGCTCATCCATGTGTGTTTTTGTTATGTGCCGCCACAGAGTGTCCGGGCGCTGCATTTCCGCACGTCCACGTTCCGCCTATTGCGTTCCGTCAACATTACGTTATAAATTATATATGTAGATAATCGATGTTTTATGCATATAATGCATGAATGAATATACATTCTTAGAATATAATGCATGAGGTGTTAAAAAGGCAGAGTGAGGTCAGACAGAGCCTTCCCTAAAAATCTTTACTTTTCTTTACCTCAAAAAAAAAACCCTTTCTTTACCTCAGAATTGAATATAAGTGCTAAAGCACACTCCTTGTAAGTGTAGCTTATGTGTACTCTAGTGTGTTTGCTTGTAGCTGACATATTACCTTGCAGCTAGTGCGTTAGCTCATTGTTGGCGGGTTAGCTTGTGGCTAACATAAGCTCATGGCTAGCAGTTTAGGTGAGTAATTTAGATTAATTTGGATAGTTTTCCAATTAAAGTTAGTTTTAAATTGTTTAGTGTTAAATAAAACACTAATAAACTAATAAAGATACACTAATTATGGTTCTTGTTTTCCTAATGAAGACTGAAAATGTTAAATGTTATTTAACTGTGTAGAGTTAAACGCCTTTATGATGATCTCTTATGATACACGTATACAGTCCTCTCAAGTTTTAACTACCAAAGAACCATGTTTGATTAGATTGAAATCATGTTTTTCTGTTTATTCAGAACAGATTGCTCGTCTCTGTCACTAGAAACTAGAAGAAAACAGTTCAACTATCTGGTGCTGTGTTTGTTAAGCTAAGACAATAAATAAGCTGCAAAAATATATTTCCAACTTTTATTTATTCGTTTGATTTTGATTCACAAATAAATATTCATGATGACTCATGATGTATTACATGTATGAATGAATGATTACTCACACATTAAACAATGCTATTTCATGGACCCTTATTGTAAAGTGTTACTGGTTTATCTGTAAATTCATTTACATAAACTTTAAACCTAGTTAAAAAATTATAAGTTACATTTAAACCTTCATTTTTATTCTGGATTATTTTTAAAGTAAACCTAGTTTACATTTAATCCTGTTGCTTCATTACTTTAAACACTGATTTAAATTTTGTTTAGAGATTAAATTTAAACTCTCTCTTGCTCTCAGAGTAAAACTATATCAAAATATATAAATAGTTCCCACCCCTAGTATTCACCAATTATTTCATCATTAACCAAACAGTGACAAAGAAGGAATTTTATATAGTTTTATATAAACTATATAAAACTATATGAAATACTCCAGGTTTATTTGATTTAAAACTGAATTTAGATGGTGATTCATTCTGTTGGTTATTATGAGTAAAAAAGGCGGCCATGTTTTTTATTGATCCTCTGGGATTCATGCTGAGTGCTAAAACTCTGATACACAGCAAGACAGGCTTTATTTTTAACGACAAATTAAGTTGCACATTTAATATCAGATATTTTTAATACTCAAAATCAATGGAAACTGAAAGACAGAGCTGAATATTATTAATTTCTAAATAATATTTTTCACATTTATTATCTTTTTATTATTTATCTGAAATGTGTTTTAGGGCCTGTTTGTGTTTTTCCACCCCTCCCCCACTCTCTCAGCTCTCTGCACATCTAGCGCTTAGCCTCAGTTTTATAAGTGTGACTGCATTTAGCATTTTTTATGTGTACATAGCTGTGAATTTCTGATTATCAGCACTAAACTGAGAGTCTTTAATCAGACTCTGTTTGAGACATGAGGGAAAGTTCTAGATTGGTACACATGCAGGACATAAACGCAGGATCTGGACGGTGGGTTTCTGAACTGGATTACTATCTGAAATCTCCACAGAGTCTCTCTGGACACACAGGGTCAGTCCTGATGGTCAGCGTGATGTGAGAATTGCGTTGCTGTTTTAACCCTTTGTTGGAATATGAAGCAGAGCAGAGCAATAATATCAGGATTTTGGGTGATTTTCTGAGCCAAATTACTCACTGATGCTGACATCATAGCTCGATGACGTCACGCTAGCTAGTTTGGGCCGGGTCTGCTGAATGGTCTGATATGTTTCATGTCTGCAGCTTCATCTATGTTTAAAGTTAAGTGGTGCAGCTCCAATCGATTTAAAATATAATCTAGATTATCAATTCTAAGGTGAAGCCATTTCTTCTGACTGTATGTTTTCAGAGATTCTGATGATTTTAGCGTTTGTGAAAAAGCTATTTTAGCTGGAACTCAGCTGCTCCATCAGCTTCACTACAGTCATTCCAAAAGCAGAGATGACCGCGTTTGGTCAGTGAGGTTTTGTCAACAGTGAAAGTTCACAAAAGTGAATAGAGGGTGAATAAAATACTTCTGCCGCCCGCAAAACCGGGTTTGGTGTGGAAGATGCTGTCAGTTATACACAAGCTTGAATTAATTTACTGTCTTCTGAATAAACTACGTGTGTAACATTGACATTCTGTCAAAAGATGCATGTGAGTTTGGAAAATAAGTATGGAATAATATAGAATTTCAAAAAATGTTGGGAATTGCCCTGTCGACCACCACCTCAGACCATCTAAAGTCAAATCCACCCCCCACCCCCTGCTGGCCAAAGCTGATATAACATGCTATGTGTTAGTCTTTATTTTTTAATACAGTTCTGATTTTTTTAGGCTTTGATGGCTGAAAGTGATCTTAGAAAAACATTTGGCTGTTTTTAGTTTGTTATTCAGGCAGTAAAAAAAAAAATGTGGAACTTAAACTCATTTTTTTTTACTCATGTTACCCTTCAGGGCCTCTGTATTTATGTTCCCAAAGATAGCATTAATGTAACGTATTCTACATTTGCTGGGGTGTTACCAGTAATTTAATTTTACACACATGAAATAATTTTAATAAACACACTTTGCAGTGATGACATATTACTATAAATCTTACCTTTCACTGTGAGAGTAACAGGATTGCTGAGTTGTGATGATGAGGGTCTGTTATCTCTCTCTCCTCTACACCAGTACGGATCCTGATCTGCTGCTGATCTGATGGTGAAGGTGTTTGTCTGAGACTGATTTACTGCAGTGCTACTGTTGCCTTTATACCATTGATAACTCCAGTTACTGTGAGACTCTATCTCACACTTCAGAGTGACTGACTCTCCAGTGAACACAGGACTCCTTTTGGGCTCTACAGTCAGTGTAGCTGTGGGTAAAGCTGTGGGAACAGATGAGAGAGAAGGTTGGTGTTGTGTATCTACACATTGCTTTCACTTCATGTTGGTGATTAACATATCTGACGTGTCTGAAACCACTTATGTTGCTCAGGATAAACTCCACAGTGTGGCCCAGTTTAATTTACAGACAGTGTGTTTATTACAGTAGCTTTGCCCAGATCAGTCATATCAAATGATCCCTGTGTACATCTCTGCTTGTCTTAGAGATAAAGGCAGGGGCGGCACCAGAGCTTTGTTTACAGGGGTGCTGAAACATTTTGAGGGGGTGCTACACCTACAGCTGGAGGGAGAGGGGGGCATAGCGGGAGGCCAGTCATTCAATATGAAGATTCAATATGAAGTTTCCAACATTCAAATGCACATCTGAGGCTTGTTCACCTGCGTTTCATTGGCTATCCTTTTGCTCTTCACAACTACATGTGTTACTTTTTAGTGATGCACAAAGCAGTCACCCCAGTGACGGAGGCAGAAGTAAATTTTGGGGTACACTCTTCAAAAAGAGGGTTCTTCAAGGGTTCTTTAGTAAAGAAAATGGTACTGTATAGAACCATGGACACTCAAAGAACCCTTTACATGATTAAAGGGTTCTTTGCATGGCGAAAAGGTGGAAATTTATGTGTTTTAGGGCCTGTTTGTGTTTTTCCACCCCTCCCCCACTCTCTCAGCTCTGCACATCTAGCGTTTAGCCTCAGTTTTATAAGTGTGACTGCATTTAGCATTTTTTATGTGTACATAGCTGTGAATTTCTGATTATCAGCACTAAACTCAGAGTCTTTAATCAGACTCTGTTTGAGACACGAGGGGAAGTTCTAGGTTGGTACACATGCAGGACATAAACGCAGGATCTGGACGGTGGTTTTCTGAACTGGATTAATGACTGGATTACTAGCTGAAATCTCCACAGAGTAATCTGGACACAGGGTCAGTCCTGATGGTCAGCGTGATGTGAGAATTGTGTCGCTGTTTTAACCCTTTAGTTGCCAAATGAAGGCTAAAGCAGAGAGCTAACAGCAGGTTTTACAGTGGTCTGGCTGTGTTTGAGCTGTATTTCTGGGTTGTGTGATGTTAGAGCTGGTTTCTCTCACTCTGGTTAGTGATGGCTGGTTCCTCTGAGTGATCTGGTGTGTGAATCATCGCTATTTTAACCCTTTGTTTACAGTATGAAGGCTAAAAGCAGAGATGTAATATAACAGTAGCGAGTGGGTTGTGGGTGATTTTGGAGCTGGATGTTTGGCTGGATGGTCACAGGTGGATGAAACCACTCTGGATGGTGAAGCAGAGTCTGAGACTGATCTGATCTGTGAATCATGTCGCTGTTTTAACCCTTTGTTGGAATATGAAGCAGAGCAGAGCAATAATATCAGGATTTTGGATGATTTTTCTGAGCCAAATTACTCACTGATGCTGACATCATAGCTCGATGACGTCACAGTAGCTTGTTTGGGCCGGGTCTGCTGAATGGTCTGATATATGTTTTTGTGTCTGTAGCTTCATCTATGTTTAAAGTTAAGTGGTGCAGCTCCAATCGATTTAAAATATAATCTAGATTATCAATTCTAAGATGAAGCCATTTCTTCTGACTGTATGTTTTCAGAGATTCTGATGATTTTAGCATTTGTGAAAAAGTTATTTTAGCTGGAACTCAGCTGCTCCATCAGCTTCACTACAGTCATTCCAAAGGCAAAGATGAATAGACTCTGATGTATAATCAAATATGAACTTTAATAAAGATAAAGCCATATATAGACGATACTGAGCTGTTCTGATGTGTAAAATCCCCTCTTCCTCTAATCTGTTTTGGGAGTGAGTCTTTCCTGGACTTTAAAGCTTTAATAAACTCATTTGGCCCAGAGATCACACTGAACATTTGTGAGATTTCATTATTTGCAGAATATCCACCACAATTTAGAGTTTTTAGAAGAATAATAGCTGACATGTAATGTAAAATACCTTATTTCTGCAGTAAGAGTTGTATTAATCATAACACCGCATTAGTTTTTCTGTGTCATGCATGATCCCACACCTTACTAAATCATGGCTATGGCTTGATTATCTCATTCTAATGCCTAAGTCATTGCCACGCATTAGGATCTCGTTTCCACGCGTTAATAAGGCGAGGCCAGCATTATTTTTGTTTATATGGGAAGTCACCAGCAGGGCTCCGTACTAATCTGATAGTTCAGCTTCAGTTGTGATTTTGAAGTCAGGATCAGAGAAAACACGGAGAAACTTGTAAGACTTGGTGTTAAATCCGCTCACAGGTGCAGAAACCCTGCGGGCTGTGGAGACGGATGAGTCCTGTTTCACTCATTTAGCTTCAGCTTGTTTTTAACCAGCTCTCCTTTTGTTCATCTTGGAGCGGCTTCTGGAAACTTCGGAGGCCTCAAAGCGCGTTTGGTGAGTAAGACTTGGTTTATTTGACGGACCAACAGTTTTAATCGGACATTTACTGATCATATAATCCGATAATGTTTAACTTTTACACAATAAATCGAAAATTAGCGTCACTTGCTAAGTTAGCCGGTGGTCTGCTATGGTGGGCTAGCTGGGTTCGTCACCTCGACTCTGATTTCTCTCACAATGTAAGAAATTATTAAGTTAAAAGGTTTTTATTACTATTTTAAATGGGAACCACGTTTCGGATTCATGCTCTAAATCCAGCTAATAAACTGAGTTGCTGTCTAAGTTAGCTCAGGTTTAGCTGACGTTAGCAGGCTGGCTAACAGCTCTGCTGGAGGACCGGTTCGGTTCGGTTCCGGATAACTTGGGCTAAACTGTGACGATTTTCAAGAAGAATGACTCAGATTTGAGCGTTTAGTCGAGTGAACGGTGCTGGAGTGTCCGATAAGCAGAATCTAATCAGGGTTTGTGGTGTGTGGGGCTGTTAGTTTGCTAGCTAGCAGGTAACGGCTTCACAGTCCGGACCTGGTCTGATTCTTCACAGCCCGGACCGGGTCTGATTCTCCACTCAGACGAGATGAAGCAGAAATCTTTAGAGGGAGAGACGCGTCGAGTGACTGGAGCCGGAGTTAAAACTTAAAGGGGAACTCCACCGATTTTCAAAAATTCTGCATAATTAAATGGTTGTTTACAGTCATTCACAGTGGTTTGGCGTGAAATGCCCTGCTGTAGTGAAACCTACGATTGAGGAGATGTTCAAAGTGGAACCAGCCGTCTGAAGGATTCAGTGCCTCTGAAAGCTCAGAAAGTGATTATATGAAATGGTTAGATATATAAGTTACTGTGTGATGACTGAACCTTTGTTTTATGGTAGTTTTGTGTTAAAATTTTAACTGAATGTTTTTTAATCCATTTATTTTAATTCATTTATGGCGGAGGGGTTCATGCAGGGCAATATAGTCTCCAAAGAAAACAGTTTTTTTTCCAGATTTATGATTATTTTTCCACCATCATCATTACACAAAAAACACATGTAGGTTCACTGGTGGTTTCAGATAGTAAATAAAATGGCTATATTTGTGTTGTAGTCATGGTGGCCCCTGATTCCTGTACCCCCACCACTGTAACGAAACCTGAGTTGGTACATTTATTTACAGTGAACCCTTTTATATCAGACCACTCTGAATGACTCTGCAGCCACATGTTTACATCTCACTGGACTGAGTTATTCAGGAATTGGTACTTTGTTTGTTATCCTAACTGAGCTGAGCTGTAACTTGGTTACTTTCTGTCTGATGGTTTTACTTGCTTGAATTTGAATATCTAAAACAATTAACGTTAGGTCAGTGTTCAGCTTTTGGAAATTCAGTATCTGTTGTATAAACTGAAGTTTGAGCATCCACTTTATGAGAATATTAATTTATGCATGGTAAGTGGAATAAAACCAAGTACAAGAAATCGCTGTGTCACTCACTAGAGGTTAGTCAGAATAAGGTTTCTGAAATCTCCTTGTTTTCTTGTTGCAGTCACCTGCATGTCCTTCATATACCAACAGCATCTTTCAGGTATGGAAGCAACCTTTATTTACCTTTCTTTTTCTGCTGGGTTACTGGTTTGATTTCACTCATTTTCTGTCCTGTAATCACCCAGAATAAGTATGTCTGTCTGCGTTTGACTATTTTATATCTTAATCATGCGTCAACACAAGTATATCTTTCCCTTTCTCATGGTTGACTATTGACTGACTGTAATAACAATTGGGAAAAAACAGTTTTGTGAGAATTTTATACAATCCCAGTTTTAATTTTTTTTTAAGTCCTGTTTCAGTGTCTTTTTTTCCTCTTTTATTTCTACGCTCCCTATTTAACCCTCCATATTTTAAGCTATGGAAGCTGTTCTCGCCAGGAGTGAACAAAGTACAGAACTTCTGAACTTGAGTAAAAGTAGAAATTCTTAAAGTACAAGTTTTCTATTTGTACTTGAGTTAAAGTACAGAAGTAGTTGTTTTTAAGTTGTGAATTGGAAATCATAATGCACTATATATTCATTTCATTTTTGCTAAAGTAAGTACACTTCTATGGAAGATGATGGTAAAGTAAGAATTTTGTTATGTGATGAATTAATCTGACCATGGTGACTAATAAAGTAAACATGAACTAACAAAGGGTGAAGTTCCATTTTGATTTCAAAGTGACTTCAAATGTATTTCATCAAATTATCGTAAAAGTACTGAATTACTGCAGTTCTGTTTTAATGAATACTTTCTGGTAAGGAAGCCTGTGTGTGGCTGCAGGCATTAGAGTTAACTGTTCATGTCTGTAGCCACGCAGGAGTTTTTATTGGAAAGTACTGATCAGAATTATAGAACTTCTAAAACAACTTACAGTTCCTTCACTTCTGATAGTATTTTAAACTTTGATTAAATGTGTCCCTCCTACAGCCATCCATCTGCTGCTTCTAGTTCTCGACTGTTAAGGACTTACAGCTTGTCCCGGGTACTTTTATTTATAGTAATGTTATAGTGTAGCTCTTTGTAATGTTAGTACATGTTTCGTTACGTATTGCTATTGTATAAAAACATTGACAAATTTGTTATTCACAGTAACACTCTCCTTCTTGTATGCTATTGCATCCACAATGCCTTTTTTCTTGTTTCTTTGTAGATTTTATTTCTCACAATGCCTGCTGTCTGATATCTGGTGAGGGTTTTACTCATTTTGCTTAGTTTTTTCTTTATTTTAGATGCGGCCATGAAGAATCCACAGTAACCATCACACTGCAGGTGACAAAGAAATCGACTTGAAACCTCCACATCTGCCGAGTACATTTAACATTATTGGGTAGGGTTCAGATGTTCATTCTTTGTCTGCCTCTCTCTCTCTTCCACACATGCTCTGTGCAGGTGCATCTCAATAAATAAGAATATCATTGAAAAGTTAATTTATTTCAATAATTCAATTCAAAAAGTGAGACTCATATATAGATTCATTACACACAGAGTGATCTATTTCAAGTGTTTCTTTCTTTTAATGTTGATGATTATGGCCCACAGCCAATGAAAACCCAAAAGTCAGTATCTCAGAAAATGAGAATATTATATAAGCCCGATTTAAAAAATGATTTTTAATACGTAAATGTTGGCATACTGAAAAGTATGTACAGTATATGCACTTAATACTTGGTCGGGGCTCCTTTTGCATGAATTACTGCATCAATGCGGCGTGGCATGGAGACGATCAGCCTGTGGCACTGTTGAGGTGTTATGGAAGCCCAGGTTGCTTTGATAGCGGCCTTCAGCTCGTCTGCATTGTTGGGTCTGGTGTCTCTCATCTTCCTCTTGACAATACCCCATAGATTCTCTATGGGGCTTAGGTCAGGTGAGTTTGCTGGCCAGTCAAGCACAGTGATACTGTGGTTATTAAACTAGGTTTTGGTACTTTTGGCAGTGTAGGCAGGTGCCAAGTCCTGCTGGAAAATGAAATCCGCATCTCCATAAAGCTTGTCAGCAGAGGGAAGCATGTAGTGCTCTAAATTGTCCTGGTAGACGCCTACACTTACTTTGGACATGATATAACACAGTGGACCAACACCAGCAGATGGCATGGCTCCCCAAACCATCACTGATTGTGGAAACTTCACACTAGACCTCAAGCACCTTGGATTGTGTGCCTCTCCACTCTTCCTCCAGACTCTGGGACCTTGATTTCCAAATGAAATGCAAAAATTTACTTTCA